CATGTATAGTATAGGAGAGGAGATATCTTACGCCCCTCCTCTGTGACACATCTGAATGGACTAGTCCGCACAAAGCTCAATTTTGCATTCTGGCAGGGAAACCGGCGTGTCAGACCGGCAAATTACCGCCCTTCGCCGTGCACTTCCCTACGTGCAGGCCCGCCTCCGCACTTGTCCCAGATATACCGGCGGCAAGGGGCAAACCATTACACAACCCATCAGATGCGAATCTGTGTCAGGTGTAAGTGTTGTATCCAGAACCGTTCTGTATCTGAATGGGTCAGGGTTAGGATCAGGCACGGTTCCGGATGGTCTCCTTGTGTCTGGGCACGGTTCTGGATACAGCAAATTTACAGCAAGTAAATAGGTGAGAGGGTGAACAGGTGAGGGGCTGAGTTGGATAGGAAAATCAGATGTAAATCTGTGTCAGGTGGGATTGAGTAAGTGTTGTATCCAGAACCGTTCTGTTCCTGAATGGGTCAGGGTTAGGGGTTAGGATCAGGCACGGTTCCGGATAGCCTCCTTGTGCCTATCTAGTTCTGTACCTGAATGGGTCAGGGTTAGGATCAGGCAGGTGTGACTGAGGGAGTTTTGTATCCAGAACCGTTCTGTTCCTGAATTGGTCAGGGTTAGGGGTTAGGATCAGGCACGGTTCCGGATAGCCTCCTTGTGCCTATCTAGTTCTGTACCTGAATGGGTCAGGATTAGGATCAGGCACGGTTCCGGATAGTCTCCGTGTGTCTATCTAGTTCTGTACCTGAATGGGTCAGGGTTAGGGGTTAGGATCAGGCAGGGTTCCGGATAGTCTCCGTGTGCCTATCTAGTTCTGTACCTGAATGGGTCAGGGTTAGGGGTTAGGATCAGGCACGGTTCCGGATAGTCTCCGTGTGCGTATCTAGTTCTGTACCTGAATGAGTCAGGGTTAGGATCAGGCACGGTTCCGGATAGTCTCCGTGTGCCCATCTAGTTCTGTACCTGAATGGGTCAGGATTAGGATCAGGCAGGTGTGACTGAGTGAATTTTGTATCCAGAACCGTACCTATATAGTTTAAACCCTGAAAGAGGCCTTGGGCTCGTGTGGCGTAACAATAATGTCACGTGACTAAAGCAATTGGGTCATTCATCATGACGAAGATTGTATGTTTCATGGCCCACGATTCTTTAAGTTGCGAATTCCACTTTTGTGAGGCAACAGTTTGAACGTTACTTATTCAAAGCAAAAATGTCAATTTTCTAGATATAGTAATATACATTGGTCCATTTGTGTGTGTGGGTGTGTGTGTGTGTGTGTGTGTATGTGTGTGTGTGTGATGTGTTCGTGTGTGTGTGCGTGATGTGTTTGTGTGTGTGTGTGTGTTCGTGTGTTTGTGTATGTGTCATCTCAAGACCACTTAGCTGAAGGATATTGAAGGAAAGTATGATTATGTGAATATTTAAGTTATCATTTTATCAACAATTGTGATACTGACATAACCTTATTAAGATGCGTATTTTATTCATACCTCTTTCATATATTATACAAATTAACACCGACAAACATTGAGAATCGATTCTGAAACTTTCTTTCTTTCATCTCGTTACTCCCCTTCATAACTTGTGATCTGCCCCCCGCGGCGCTACAGTAATAACGTTAGTCTCTGCAGCGGGAAAGTGGCCGTGAGTAATGTATGATAATGATCTGTAATACAAACTCATGCACATCAACTAAATCATACACACTTAAGTCCATATGCAATCTGTCTTTGAGACATACGCTCTGCACTGAAGATTTAGATAACATGTCGGCAACACTATAAGGAATAGAAATGGTAACAGTTGGGAGTAAGGATTAAACAGATAAGAAACATGAGTATCTATAAAGATCAGTAATAAAGTTTCCTTATCTGTTAATCAGTTAATCATATTTAGCTCGCGTTTTTGCCTGGGGATTAGTATTTAGTGCGCTGATTTTCCTGCAGAATGTAGTTAAGTTGGCTTCAATATTCGCTCCACGCAGGAGGCACATTACGAATTACCTGTCCAACGTTTACAACGTCAGAAGGCGCGTGGAGCGTGAAAATTAAAACCGACGGAGAGCCTAACGTATGTGGCATGAAAATTGCATGAATCATGCTCTGACCATGCACCGTGGTTATGTCTCTATATAACATTAACACAAAAGCATGAAAACATGACAAAGTTTGGACGTTCTTATCAACCGGTGTTGGTGCAGCTCATCCATTATCCTCAGACACTACGTACATGTACCCCCCCCCCCACGCTGCGCTACTGATAAAGAGTGCAAAGATCATACAGCTGCATTCCAGGCACGGAAGAATCATCAAAGCTGCTACGACAGCTACTTACCGTGGTAAAGGGTTGTTGCCAGCAGCCCCAAGAAGTAATGACGATAAGTCATTGTTGCCGAGTACCACGTCGCGAATGCTACTCGCAAAATTGCCTCCTCCAACGCTGCGGGCGGTCTTCACGCCAAATTGTTTTCCCGAAGAAGCATCCCCGATAAAAACACCACCTTTCCCCTTGAGTAGAGCCTCTGGCTTAAGCCAAGTCAAATGGCGATCTGCAGCGAAATGTAGTCCGTGAACGGGTGCTTACAGTTACACCACGTCCCTCGGCAGCAACGCCGAGATCTGGAGACGACGTACGGACTCCATCAGCGTCGCCGAGAAAAAAGTGTCAGAAATGAAGACATGTCTCCTCCGCGCGTCGTCTGTCCGTTAACGAGATCTAACCGAAAATAATGCCTCATTCAGGTTGAGTCTGTGTCTGCGCTGAGACGCAGTCCCACGCCGAGAGAATCTCCTACAGACGCCGCCGGAAAATTAACGAGGCAATTCTTGGCCCCGGCAGCATCGCCGGCTATTCCGGTATTGCTTATAACAACAAATGGTTATGCAGTGCGCAGGCTCCGGCTATCTCGAGCACCCAGCGAAGCAGTCAATCAGGAAGAAACGCATTTCGCTCATCCAGCACCCCCCGGGGGATATCTATGCTAACTTTTCCAGGAAAGCCGGCTAGCGGCGCTGGAAATGTCGGAGAAGAACCTGACCTAGAAAATGAGGTTCCAAGTGCATTGATACCTACCCCGCTTACCAGGCAGACACAATCGATACAAGAAAATGGGTTTGAATTTATCACAATAGGCGGCAGGAGAATTACCCTGTTTCTTTACAGAGACGTATGAAGAGAACTGCGTCAGTCTGGCTTTATAGGCCTTTTCCTTTTTGTGTTTCGGCGTTTTCCTGTTTAAGTATTGCCCGTGGGGTTCCTGAGTTAGATGCCAGTTGGCGATTTACAAGTGAGGCACGTCTTACATGTGCGGTTACCTCCCAACACGACGCCATGTACATGTATAGTATACTCCCCCTGCATTGCAACTCAGCAGCAGCTATTGACACCTAGCTTTATCATCAAAACTAAGCTACCATAAAATCGAAAAAAAGTCTTCTGTATCAAGCCATCGCTCTTAAAAGGAAACACTAAACGCAGAAGAAAAACAACAGGATTGTAATAAACCAGAGAATTTATTTTATAGAATATGTAAAAGTTATGATACAATATTTTCTCTAAACCCATATATCTCTCATCAAGTTACAACGAGGAAGTTTCTGTATAGGTTCGCGTTTTTATTGATTCGCAAACTTGCCGGCTGTACTTTACAATGTCTGGAATGAAAACAGTAAAACAAAGCATTACGGTTTTATGTTCGAAGAATGCCGTGCGGAATACAGCCAAGGACATGACCTGGTATAAGCGTGTTCGGAGGGAATATAACATATCTTTTAGAATATTTTTTTTTTCGATATGGGCAAACGAAATATGGAATAGGAATGTAAAATTCTAATTCCATCAAATCAAAATCATACTACTTATGCCAAACAGTGATCACACTTCAATTGTTTTTTTTTTTTCGTTTTTGTTTTCCTTTCTTGTGTATTGAGTAAAAGACATACAAACGACCGCATGTACACGATGACAATGATTTCTACCGTCTCTGCTCTGTTGCCTGTGGCAGTCGACACTGACGGAAGTAAGAGCTACGACTTACACCACGCCTAAACCCCACTCAATAGGTCTGTGGATAGCCTGAAAGCTTTATCGACGTCTACTGACACCGGACAAGCTGGGAGATTACTCTAGCTCAAACACAATGTCAACACCATCTCAACTGTCTTTCTAGGCTTTCCAGCGCTGAAGGCTGGAAGCTGTACAATCTTTCAAGGGCAACACTCTCTCCCGTTGCCACGTCGCCATTTTGGAATCACTGGCCGTTTAGACAGCGAACACAGTCATACTCTTCCAACTAATGGACTCTTCTGACGGGTAAAATCACCTTTCAACAGAACTATCAACTCTCTTAAGTACCGGGCGTTTCAATTGTCAATAAAAGTCAACATACAAAACAGCAGGCGTAAGATCCTCACACGGTCCAAGTATTACAGCGTAAGGTTTCTTGCTTCAGCGCAGTCCTAATGTCTGCCGGTTGGATCAAGAAAAGGGCTGAAAGCATCTCGGCACACATTCGGTGTAGTAAAATGCAATCCCAGGCCGTTAGCCGTTGCATATGATGTGGCAACGTTATGTACAAAGTCGGAGTGAAGAGGCCTGTGATGTCAGTCACAGGAACATGTATTCTGTACTCATCTGGCTTTTGGCTTGTCTGTACACATTACAGAGACGGGTGGCGCCACAGACTCTCTGCATCTAATGATTGGCTGCTCGTCGAGTCACGTGTTGTATCTGCATACCTTGATGTCACAGAAGCGGTGGGGTGCCCATTTCTTGACAGAGACTGGAGTTGCACAGTCAGAAATTTGGGTAAGTCCATCTTTTGTGTTGTAAGTCCATCCTGTTTCGGAAAGATCTTCGACCATGGCTTGCTCTAAGGTCCGTAAGTTCCTTTTCGAACGTTCCTTTCCGGATCCTGCCCACTGGTAGTACCTTGTTGTAAGCACGTCTTGTGTAAATGTCTGGCTTGTATCAGGCAAGACCTCGGCACGTCACACACTTCTCTTCATCTGTCGTTCTTCTAGCTCCACTGCTTGTCGGAGCGCAGGCACTGCAGAAAGAGGAAATCAAATGTGTGTTTGCCAATGTAAATTATCGTGATGTACATGGAATCTTGTATTTAAGTACAGGCAAACCTGTCTATAGTGGTCACTAAAGGGACTGGCCAAATCTGACCACTGTGGCCAGGTGACCACTGTATTGCAATAATGCTGTATTCGTAATTACGTCTAAAACGTGATGCGGTGTAAGCTAAACAACGAAGTTATAAAATGTATAGTCACACAAGATTAGATTTTTATCTCCTGATCATAGTTCTGGACGGAGATAATTATGCTTTTGTGACCTTTCATTCAGGGCTATAAAAAGAGTTTAGGAGCACCTTTCCTTTCTGCTATGAACTTGACATAGTTGGAGGGGAACAGGCCTATCCTGCCCCTCAGGTAACCCAGGCACCAGCCGCCATCTTCCCCCTCCAGCACCTCGATGATGTCATCTACCTCCAGAGGCAGTTCGTTCTCCTCCCGCGGGATGTACGTGTACAGGACCTTCGCGTACCTTCTGCCGGCTGGGAGGGGAACAAACATACATGTAGTATAGATTTATCAGAACGTAAAATGATGTATCTTTGTTATTTATTTTTCCTGGACCTTACCTCTTCCCTTATGACCCATTGAAAGCGGTATGCATGCCGATTTGAGCATCTCATGGTATAGAAAATGGTTCAAATAAACACATTATGTAGAATGGTTCAAACAAACAAATTTACATCAAAGTTTGTTATTGTACAGACTGTTATCTGTGACAATGCACAACATTATTGAAAATGACTTTTAAGTTCTAAAACACAGCATAGTGTATCTGGGAGTTATTCAGAGACACTGATGAAGACCGTAAGACCTGCAAACATTGGTAGCATGTCGATTTGTAATTAGGAATTCAGTCGTTTTGTTCTGCTAGACAACGAAGACTATGCCTTAATCCTTGATATGTCATTCCTGACAGAACCAAAAGGCTTAAGATACTCTCATATCCTTTCACGATCATGTTATATGTGATAGAGAAGCCTTAATACAATATCTTATCTCGTCGACTAGATGCATTGCAATCAAACTTGATTAAGGTACGTGGATCTTCTCTGGTGTATGTAATAATTGCATTTAACGTAATTAGGCTCCGTCTTATTAGATCTGAATAAGCATTACGTTCAGCATGTGATGATAAACATTCTATACTCTAACCATTCTTTCAAATAGCTTGTCTCTAGCTGCAAATGTTTCCTAAGTATTATGAAGAGGCAGATTTAGAGGTGCATAATTACAGCTTGCTGTGTATCATTATTTAAGAGCAATTTTCCTCATTGGTACTGAGGTAATTTTCTTTTCAGAGAGTGTTGCTAAGAAGGCGAACATAATTGCCAGTTTCGCAATTACAACATCGCAACTTGTGATTAAATTCACATTTACCTTCGCAGCTGTGATAAGCATATCCTACGTGATAATACCTTCCCTAGAGTAACACACTTATAACACTGCCTGGCTACACGATTGAGAAAATAGTGCAAGAAACCGTTATCCTTACAAAATTCTACATAACACCACACCAGTACCATGTATAATACCTTCCCTAGAGTAACACACTTATAATACTGCATGATTGAGAAAACGACCATAAACCGCAATCCCGAAAAAATTACATATCACCACAGCTATCCCAGAGCAAGAATTCTATCCAAGGAGTCTGTAGAAACTCATGATCTATCATAACACTTAGCCTCTACCAGACTTGAAGGCGCGGCTGGAAATAGTAGAAATTGGCCAAATAGAGAGATAAACACGCCGAGGGAGTTTAGCCATCCAGTTTACAGT